TCAGCTGTCCACAGATGGATGGGTCTATTTTGGGGTTTTCAATTCTGTTCCATTAGTCTATCTGTCTATCATTGTACCAATATCACACTGTTTTAACTACTGTGGCTGTATAGTAGGTTTTGAGATCCAGGAGTGTGAGACCTCCTACTTTGTTTTCCTTTTCAACAGTGGTTTGCTTATACAAGGTCTTTTTCCTTTCTATGTGAAATTAGTAATTGTTTTTTTCATATCCTTAAAAAATGTTGATGGTGTCTGGATTGGGATTGTATCGAATTTATAGATTGCTTTGGCTAATATTGACATTTTCACAGTATTCAGTCTTCCCATCCATGAATAAGGCAAGTTCTTCCATTTATGTAGATCCCTTGTAGTTTCTTGTAGTAGTGTTTTATATACTTTTTTTGTATAGGTCTTTTGTTCTCTGGTAAGATTTATTCCTGGATATTATATCTTTTTGGTAGCTATTGTAAATGGTGTTGTTTTCCTTATTTCCTTTTCAGAGGCCCTCTTTGTTGATGTAGAGGAATTGAACTGATTTTTGTATGTTAACATTGTATCTTGTCACTTTGCTGAATCTTTCTATTAGTTCCAATATTTTTTTTGCTGAGTCCCTAGGGTTTTCTATGTATAAGATCATGTCATCTTCAAATAGAGATAGCTTTACTTCCTGTTTGCCAATTTGGATGCCTTTTATTTCTCTTTCTTGCCTTATTGTCCTGGCTAGGACTTCCAATACAATTTTAAATAGAAGGTGATAGAGGGCATCCTTGTCTGGTTCTTGTTCTCAAGGGGGAATACTTTGAGTCTTCCTCCATTATCAATAATGTTGGCTGTTGGCTTTACATAAGCTCTTTATTATGTCAAGGATTTTCCCTTCTATCCCTATTTTGCTGAGAGTTCTGAACAGGAATGGTTATTGGATTTTATTGAATGCCTTTTCTGTGTCTTTTTTTTTGTTTATGTGGTGGATTACATTTATTGTTTTTCTGATGTTGAACCATCCTTGCACAACTGGTATGAATCCCACTTGGTCATGATGTGCTATTTTTTTGATGTGTTGTTGGATTTGGCTAGGATTTTGTTGAAGATTTTTGCATCTATATTCATGAGGGATATTGTTCTGCAGATTTCTTTTCAGTGGTGTTTTCCCCTGGTTTTGGTATCAGTGTTATGTTTGCTTCATAAAATGGATTTGGGAGTATTCCATCTTTTTCTATGTTCTGGAATAGTTTGAGGTATCAACTCTCCCCTAAATGTTTGGTAAAATTCTCTAGTGAAGCCATCAGGGCTAGGACTCTTTTTTTGTGGGAAGATTTTGACCTGCTCAATTTCTTCTTTTGTTATGGGTCTGTTCAAGTATTCTATCTCTGAGTAGGATTGGTTAGGTAGGTCTTGTGTTTCTAAAATCTTGTCCAACTCTTCTAGGTGCTCAAATCTGTTGGAGTACAGTTCTTCATAATATTCTGCAATATCTTTTTTTTTTTTATTTCAGTTGGTTTTGTTGTGATGTCACCCTTTTCATTTATTATTCATGTCATTTGCATCTTCTTTTCCTTTGTTAAATTTGCCACTGGTTTGTTAATTTTGTTAATCTTTTCAGAGAACCAACTTGTTGTTTTAATGATTTTCTGTATTTTTTTTTTTGTCTTCTACTTAATTTATTTCTGTTTTGATCTTTATTATTTCCTTACTTCTGGATACTGAGGTTTCTTTTGTTGCTCTTTTTCTAATGGTTGGAATTGCTGAGTTACAGTGTTGGTTCTGATTCTTTCCTCTTTTTTGATGTGTGGATTTATTGCTATAAATTCACTTCTGAGTACTGTTTTTGCTGTGTCCCAAAGGTTTGGTAAGTTGTATCTTCATTCCCATCTGTATCTAGGAATTTTTTTAATTTGCACTTTATTTCTTCTGTTACCCTGTGGTTTTTGAGCAGTGTATTATTAGTTTTCACATACTTGTTTTCTTTTTTTTCTTCTTCCTTGGTCTTCCTATTATTGATTTCAAATTTTATAGCATTGTGATCTGAAAAGATGCTTTGTAATAGCTCAATGTTTTTGAATTTATTGAACCTTATTTTTTGTCTATTCTTGGGAATGATGCATGTACACTGGAGAAGAATGTATTTTGCTTTTGTGGGTGAAGTGTTATGTATATGGCTATGAGGTCAAATTGGTTTATTGTGTTGTTGAAGTCTTCTGTATCTTTGTTGAGTTTTTTCTAGTTGTTCTGTCACTCCTTGAAAGTGGTGTGTTAAAATCTCCTACTACTATTGTAGAGTTGTCTATTTTTCCTTTCAATTCAGGTAATATTTGCTTTGTGTATTTTGGAGAGGTTTTATTGGGTGCATAGATACTTATTATGGTAATGTCTTCCTTGTCAATTGATCCTTTCAGCATCATATGATGTCCTTCTTTGTCCCTTATGCTATTTTTCACCTTGAAGTCTATTTTATCAGAAATTATTATTGCTATTCCTGATCTTTTCTGGTTGCCCTTAGTTTGGCATATTTTTTTCCACCCCTTAATTTTAAATTTGTTTTATCTTTGTACCTAGGGTGGGTCTTTTGTAGACAGCATATCTACGGGTCTTCTTTTCTTATCCAATCTGTCACTCTCTTTCTCTTGATTGGTGCATTTAGTCCATTCACATTAAGTGTAATTAGTGATAGGTAAGAATTTATTGCTATCACATTCTACTTTGTTTTTTTTTTTTTTTTTGGTTGTTGTGTTATTGGTGACTTCCTCATTCCAAATATTTTTTCTGTGCTGAGCTCATTTTTATCAAGTGTTTCTTCTCTTTTATTCATTATTGTTGTTTTTGTGCTTTCTAAGCCCATGTGTTTTTCTTCTTTCTGAGTTTGCTTAGGAGAATTGTTAATTTTCTTTGTGGTTACTCTGAAGCAAATTCTTATCTCCCTTGGTTTGGAACAGTCAGTTCTATAAAGACATTGTATTATCTTCTTTTCCACTGGGAAGTTTTGTAATTAAAACTTTTATTCCCTCTATTTGCTTTGTTGCTAGTGTCATCTGCAGATTGACTCCCTAATTTCTCTGTATGCATTATTTAATGAGCTTATTTTGAGCATCTATTTCAGATTTGGTTTCTAGGTGGTCATGTCAAATGTTTTGATTTTAATTTGATGTTCTCTGTTGGAAGGACTCCCTTTAGCATTTCTTATGGGGTTGGTCTGTTTTTCACAAATCCCCTTAATTTATGTTTGTCTAAGAATGTCTTGATTTCACCCTCATATTTGAGGGACAATTGGGCTGGATATAGAATTCTTGGCTCCAAGTTCTTTTCCTTCATTTCATATATGCTATCCCATTTTCTTCTTGCCTGCATGGTTTCTTCTAAGAAATCAGAACTTAGTCTTATTGGTTGTCCATTGTAGGTGACATTTAGTTTTTCCTGAGCTGCTCCCAAGATTCTTTCTGTCTTTGGTTTTGGAGAGTTTGATTCTGATATATATTGAAGACTTTCTCCTGGGATCTATTCTGTATTGTGTTCATTGGGCTTCTTGGATGGATATATTTTCTTCCTTCATGATATGGGGGAAATTTTCTGTTAGTGAGTCTTTGACAATTTTCTGTTTTTTGTTTTGTTTTTGCCTCATCTTGTTCTAGTATTCCAATCAAGAGTATGTTGTTTCTTTTCATGTCATCCATTCTAACTTTTAGGTTCTCTTCATTTATCTTAAATCTTTGCTCAGATTTCTCTTCATACAGGCTGGTGTCAAGGGATTTGTCTTCTATTGGGAAATGTGCTCTTCGGCCAGTTCTAGTCTAATCTTTTGTCCTTCCACTGTGTTGTATATCTCTGTAATTTTAGTGTTCATCTTCTGGATTTCCTACATCCTACTTTGATAAGTAGTGACTAGAGTGTTAAAAACTTGTGAACAGCCATCTAAGATGCAACTATTCGTGTTTCCTCATCCAGCACAAAGAAGAGTGAATAAAATCAAAAACAAAAGGAAATAATTAGTGCAAAGGACTAATGGGCTAGGCGAACCTCAGCCTCCACTACCCTGAGACCAGAAAAACTATATGGTGTCAAGCCACCATTACTGACCACTCTGATCAAGATCAAAATAGAAGATCCCAGACAGAGAAGGATGGGAAAAAATGCAGAATAAAATTCAGAGTCATAAAAAGGACAAATTTACTGGTCTGATAGAGACTGGTGGAGCAACTCAAACTGTGGCCCTTAGACACTCTTAAAGCCTGGAACTGAACTCACCCTCAAGAGTCAACTTTCAGCCAAACAATAGACAGGCCTAGAAAGTGAATAATAACACCAAGGAGGAAGGTACTCTTTAGTATTCAACAGTATGATACAAAAGAGAAACATTTATCTAAAAACAAAACTTAGAAGGCAGGAAGGGGCAAGAAGAAAGGATGAAAAGAAATGAAGAACTGAGGGAGAAAGTGGGAATAGTGTTATTACATTTAGAGTATTGAAAAAATATCACAGTACAAAATGTGTATAAATTATTTAATAGAAAATGACTTTACTCTATAAACTTTCAACCAGACTACAATTTAAAAAAATAAAAAATTAAAAGATGTCACTTTGACAACTAATGTATCTGACCCAAACTATGGTCTTTTCAATTGCTTTCTATACATTCAAAAGTTGAACAATGAATATACTATGGTCTGTGAAGAAAAATGAACAAATTAATTTAAGGAGAAATATAAGCAGAATGCTGCTTAATGGTAAGGTGGTGGGATTCTGGCTCCTTTACTTTGGACATGTCACCAGTAAAGGCCATTCACTAGAAAAAGACATCATATTTGGTGAAGTAGAAGGTCAATGAAGACAAAGGAAACCCTCAATGAGATGGATTGATGGAATAGCTGCAACAATGGACTCAAACATATCAACCATCATGAAGATGGCACAGGACTGAGCAACATTTCATTCTATTATGCACAAGGTGACCATGAGTCAGAGCTAATTCAATGGCACAACAAGAAGGAGCAAGGAAGGCATAGCATTACCTCTTCATAGACATGACATCCTGAAATTGCAATGTTTGGCCTGAAGTTGGTTGCTTTAATTTTCTTCTCTAGTCTGGAGTTGAGATCTGCCAAGGATGCCGCAGAAAGGATTAGGAATGGGCTGGTGTCAGGGTAAGAAATCTGATAAGGAAATAGAAATTGTTACTATAGGTGGCACACAAATGAATTTCTCAGAGATTACATGTGCCTGGAAACCTTCACACACACACACACACACACAACACCTTTCTAAGATTTCTCTGATTCTATTTTATAGAAAAACCACAGTGCTTTAGAAATCTTAAATAATCTTGAACTTAACAGGAATTGCATGGTGGAATGAACAGAATATAGTGTCAGAACGCTAAAGCTGCTGCTAGGTATGTGCCTTTGGGGAAATCATCACATTTCTAAGCCATTGTTTTCTCAAATGGTTCACAAGGTGCTGGACTTGATGACCTCATATTTGATAAAAACAATAACTAAAGCTCTTGTTGTCGAGTTCATTCAGACTCATAGCAGCCCAATAGGACAGAGTAGAACTCCCTCATGGAGTTCTCAAAGTTGTAGTCTTTGTGGGAGCAGTTTGCCACATCTTCCTCCCAAGAGTGGGTAGTGGGTTTGAACCACCAATCTTTCAGTTAGCAGCCAAGCACTGAACTACTGTGCCCCCAGGGCTTCTACCATACTTGATTAAAAAAAACATTTGTTAATTCCATGGATATTTATGTTTCTAGGCAACCTGGAAATAAATGTTAATTAAGGACTTACACTAACCATAAAAAAAAAAAAATAGTAAAAGTAATGTGTGTTGCTACCAACTCTACTTTTATTGTGAATGTTTACAACCTTATTCCTTTAAGGGGCCAGTCTGATTAATTTTAAGTCCAGAGATGTCCAAACCCATACCCATTTGCACAATTTTGTTTGACACACATGGAATCTGTGTAGTCCATGATCTTAAAATGTCTAGACTTCACATGTAATTGCAAGATGCTTATGTAGAAGACTTTTAAAACCATATTGGCACCAAATCCTTACAAAAATAGGAAAGTAGGTGCTCATGGGCAAAAACACAACAGAATCCTCAAATCAAAAAACAAAGCTAATACTCCCAAGAAAAGGACTTTATTTTTGTCTGTTGCTTGTGATCCCCAGTCATTATCTAATTTGAACTGTCCACTTGGGCACCTGGAAAAATGACAGAGCTGTGCTCATCACAGAGATGCCACTTGTGGCTGATGAGCTGGAGGCAGACTGCTCTCCATCCCTGGAGGAAGCTTTCCTTGCACAGGACACACCAAACGCTAAAGCTGAAGGGCGTTCCTCTGACCTTCTCAGTGGGCCGGAACACATCCTTTAATTGGTGAGAACGTCTTGGTTGCATGTGAGGTTCAAAGTGCACCAGGCGGTAGGGCTGCGTCTTCAGAAAGCTGGTTATCCATTCAGCGGCTGCATCACCACAGTCCCTGCCTTCGATCTCCAGGCTGTGCACTCTGTAGGGGTGGCAGAAACAAAGGATGACATGGCTTTGAAAATCTTGATCCTCCACCATATCCTACACCTATCAGAAAAGCTAGACCAAGCTGTGATGTTCTAGTAATTCCTTCACCATCAGAAGACAGAGCTGTACCCTGGTTCTGCCTCTGAACCACTGTGTAAATGAAGGCACTGTTTTAAGCCTTATTTTGCCCTCTTCTGAGCCCCTAAGTGGTGCAAACATTTAGGTGCTTGACTACAAACCGAAAGGTTAGCAGTTTGAATCAACCCAGAGGCATTTCAGAAGAAAGGCCTGGTAATCTAGGTCCAAAACATCACAGGCATTGAAAACCCTAT